GCTATAGAAACGGTTGAAAAATTCTCGTTCCATCTGCTCCCAACTGTCAATACCTCCAGCTTTGAGGTCTGTGTACCAATCAAATGCATTCCCTTTGAGGGAACGAACGAATTGCTTGACAAGGAGATCTCCTTCTGTACCAGCATTGCCGCAAGTTTCTACAAAGTGTGCGACATGTTGCTTGGGATTGCCTTTTCCGTTAAATTGTTAAAGCTTTGGAGGTTGATACCCAACCGGCATTTTTAAAATGTCAATTCTTTCTGTGTAAGGCTTTAAGTACATGCGAGCACTTTGAGGGACGCTATTATATTGTTCTCTTATGCAATTTACTATCATGTCTTGAAGTTGTTGGACAGAAAGTAAAGTAGCAGAGGCAGCATCAATTGTTGGATTGGCGGACACGTCATTTTGATCATCAATTGGAGTGTTCTCTAGCATGCAACTAGAATGAGGAATTCAGCCTTTGCTTAACTCAGCATTGTCGTCACGCAATTTTAACTTTTCTGTCAGCGAGACAATTTTTAGATCTTGCTCCTTGAGAGAGTGTTGTAATTTTTTAATTGCACAGGCCATAGTTATCAATTGCTCTTCATACGAGGTAGTACTCGTCATCATGACTTGCATAGTGATGGAGTCAGAAAAAATCTTTGGCCTTGGGTGGACCAGCCTTGAACTTGTGACTGGATCAACCTTTGAGGTTGTAGGAACCTTCCTTTTTGCCCCTAGCGAGGTGGAACTTGAACTTGTGACTGAAGCAACCTTTAAGGTTGTAGGAAACTTCCTCCTTACCCCTAGCAGGGTGGAACTTGAACTTGTGACTGGAGCAACCTTTGAGGTTGTAGAAAGCTTCCTTCTTGCCCCAAGCAAGGTGAAAGAGGTATGAGTTTGAGTTGTTACTTTGACAGATTTGGCAGAATTAACTCTCATTGCATCGTGCTGTCTTTTAGCAGGAACGGATGATTTAACCATGCTCTACATCATTGAACTTGCAGAGGTGTTTGTACCACTTGATGAAGTTGTAACCTTCTTGCCACCTATTGTGATGGTATTGATGTTGTGCGTCATGACCGCGATGTCTTTAGTGGTATTCTTGCTTTTCGTCTGAATCTTATTGGAAGTCATAGAATCTGACGATGAATTTATTGAGAATTTGATATAGAAGAAAGAGATGAGAGGCAGAGGATGTCCCACCAGGCGTGCCAGAAATTTGTACACACAAATTTTGTAAGTCTGCAATAGAAATAAAATATGGAGCAAATAATATAATTTCATTAATTTGAGAAATTGAGGTACAATCCTCTGTAATATTCTTTACAAAAGAAAGAACTGGTCCTCTGATTAAATCTACTTTTTTTGTTGGTTGGATCCAAGTGCTGCACGAGCTTGTTCTTGAATCACCATGGAACTTAATGAAGAACGGCACGACTTTGGATGTGCTTGTTGTTCTTCGCTTTTGGGTTTGGATTCTGAATTTGTGTCTCTGATTTCTGAGTCTCTGGATTTCTGAGCTTCTGAATTCTGAATTTGTGTCTGAATTTCTGGACTTCTGAATTCTGAATTTGTATCCTTTATTGAATTTGAGGAAGAACGACACGTCTTTGGATGTGTTTGTTGTTTTTCGTCTTAAGAGAGAAGAGAATTTGTTGAATTTGGTGAAGAACGGCACGACTTTGGATGTGCTTGGTGTTCTTCGCCTTCAAGTTTGCCCTCGGGATTTCTGGCCCTCTAGATTTCTGATTCTCTCAATTTCTGGACCTTCTGGACTTCTGAGTCTTTGGATTTCTGGACTCTGAATTTATGTTCTTTGTCCTTCTTCATCCAGGCCTATATTTATAGGCTTCTCGGGTTGATAGGATGATGACACGTGTCATTTCCTGATAAGGATAAAATTATAACTGGGTCGGACCGGTTATATTATGATAATTATCCTTAAAAATAATTATTCCAAATATATTTTATTAGAAATAATTATTCTTTTTATTTAACCAGCTGGACTGGACTTAATTAAATAATTTAAGTGGACCAAACTTGGGCCAAATAAATAACTTAATTAAACATTAGGCCCATATTTAATGGGTCCATTTGTCCAAATCAAAGTCCACTAAAATTTTAGTGTCTACACCACACATAAGACTAAAAAGAGAATGTCAAGTGCCGTCGTGATTGCATAACCTCAACCATTGAATATGTAAACTCTGTTGTAGAACTCACAAGATCCAAGAGTTGAAGTTGTACGGTCAGGACTATACTTAGCACAATTCTTCAGTAAAGTGACAAAAATAAAAGTGTTGTGGCGGGCTTCAAAAAAGTAAAATAAAATAATGAGTGTGACATTAATTTTGAACAGTAATGATACTCATACTGAAAATTTGTAATGAATTGTCTAACTAAATTTTTTTTAATTAATTATTTATGATACATAGATAAATGAAGAACCTACAAATAATTGGTACAACAATCATTTTTCATTTTAAACTATTGTGATTTAAATTTGACCTTATTATAATGTTATCATGACCGTCCCACTAATCAAAATTATCTTGTAAGATTTATACTTCTTCTAATGTTTATAACTCCAGACATTTTGTGCATCAAAGTTAAACCCTAATGGACCATGTTGAAGTATTTCTTATTTAATCTAACAATCATATCATCAACAACCGTCCAATCAAGTGAAGATGCAAACATGTCCCTCCAATGCTCAAACATCTCTTTTAACAAGAGGATCCTGCTCTAACAATATAGATATAAAAAGAGGTATAGATATAGATAGATATAGGTTTAGAGATATAGATACTGTTCAACTAGTAGTACCAATTCAACTCCACAATAATGGAGTTTTGAGGGCTTCTAAGCAATTGGCATGTAATTTGTGTGACGGCCTTGTGAAGCACGCTGATTAAGGAGTCAACTTGAGTCATAATGTATACAGAGAGAGAAGTGATCGACCAATTACCAAGATGAGAGACATAAGATCCTAATTGTCTACCATGAAGGTTCTGTCCCTTCTAAGATGGCAATTTCCTTCAACCCGACAGATTTTGGGCCTGCCCACCTTGTGAATTTAAAAGTTTCTTAAATGGGGTTGGAGTGGATATGGTAAAATAATAAAAAAATTCCAAACGGATTTACGAGAAGGTGGATTTAGTGATAAATCTGTCCCGTTCCGTTCCGATTATATATGTTTAATTTTAAAAATTATACGGAGAATATATATATATATATAACAAGTCTTAAAAATATTAAATATAATATATACATATATATACATTTTTAAGACATTGTACATATATATACATTTTTAAACATATTTTTATACATATATAAAAATATTAAATATAAAACATTTTTAAGACTTGTTACTTCGCAGCACCCTCACCATCCACTTTGAAAAGTAGAGAAAGTATCACCCTTGATTGTATATATTCACTACTTAGCAATTTAAAGTTACGTCAGTTTATTTATCAGCTCAATTTGAGCACGTTGGGTTAGTTTTTTTTTTTTTACTAAATAATAAAAGTAGCATAACGCGCCCTGCAATTAAATAGAATAAGCGAGGCGAAGTTGGTATTTTATCTATCGCAGTAAAGGAGGGGATGGTATAGCAATTATAAACCCATCCCAAAGTAGGAATAGAATTGGCATGACTAATTTTGTAAAGAGTGGAGTAGGGTTTAGCTATACCTACTCCAACTCCAGACCGATGTCATCCTGTCCCTCCATTAAAGTTTTGAAATTTTACTTAATTTTTTTTCCTTCGTGTGGAAGTTGGATCTCACTTGTAAAGCATGAAATATGCAAAAGAAAGACCATAAATGCAGCTACTGGGCATATCATTTTTTCAGCTTATAATGAAAATCGAACCTTTAAAGATTGTTTTACTACTTTGCCTCCTAAATTAAAATAAACAATTATTTGTAATTTTGAAGTTAAAACAATGATAAAAATTGACAAAAATTAATTTTTGTTGAAAATTTCATTTCATTTCTATTGAACAATGGTTTAGATAAAAATGAAATCCAATTATATAAATTAGGTTTAGATAAAAATGAAATCCAATTATATAAATTATTTGTAAAAAAGAAAAAGAAAAAGAAAAATAAAAATTCATATTTTAGTAGAGCCCTAAGTGCAGTCGCGATTGCACAGCCTTAATTCCTGGATATGTGAACTTCGTTTTAAGACTCACAATCCAATCCATTCTAAGACTCACAAGCTGAGTCACTCAAAGTGAGAACGAAAGTGCAAAAACAACAAAATTTAAGTCACACAAAATTAAAATGAGAACGAAAATGCGCACGGAACAAAAAATAAGAGCGTGCACAAAACTTTAAAGTGGTAACTGGTTAAAAAAAATTGTATGACTTAACTCACAAGACCTAAGAGTTGAACCTGCACAGCCACACTATGCTTAGCACAATTCTTTTAAGTAGAGTGACAAAAACGACAGAATTAGTTGGCTTCAACGAAACCGCAATGTGAAAGTAATTTTTCAACTGTTGTCATCTTGATTTCTATCATTATTATAAAGTTCAAAACCGCCCTAATCAAAACATATTTTTTTAGGTTACAAGAAATGTATGTTTTTGGATCCACAAGGTAATTCCCGTGCAATATAAAATTTAATAAAAAAAATAACCAACAAAAACTAGAATAAAATGCCTATAGCTACCCAATTTAATACTAATATTCAGAGGGAGGAAGGGTGGGTATATTCTAGAGTTCCAATTATTTATATATATATATAAACTTTAAGTAAACTTCCAAGACTAACTAGTGTGAACGCATGTTTACCAGGAAATTCCCCAACAACTTCGGTTATTAATACTTTACAAGGATAAAAACACAAAGAAATGCCACTTTCAATGTTGGGAAATATAGTCACCATTTCAATGCATTTTCCTCCATCTTTTCCACAAAGACTTGGTCTATGCTACAATTCAAACAATACATCTATATATATACACCATATTCATTCCTCAGTCATCCCATCTCATAAATTCATAATGGAGAAAAGTAATGCCATTTCAACAGCTATCTTAGTCTTATTAGAGAATAATTCATCATCCCCTTTCTCATTTGTAGGCATCATTTTATTGTGCATAATTCTAAGTTGGATCGTTACACTGCATGACTTCTATTCATGTTTTAGATCTTTGTTTCAGACCTTACTCCACTTCCTCTTCTGGAGATGGAAGAGTTGCTTCAGCCAAGGCAAGAAAGCCGGGGCCGAATTTTCGACTATCCAGAAACCGTGCTCCAATGAAAATGTGACTGATAATGGTAAGTTCAAAGAAGTGGAAATGGTTATGGAGAGATTAGGAATTTTCTGTGACTCTGATGATGTTTGCGATGAGCTTCAAATTGGGACGTTGTTCGAGGAAAAGGAGCCTAGCCTAGAGGAAGCGAAAGAAGCTTTTCTAGTGTTTGATGAGAACAATGATGGGTTCATTGATGCAGGGGAGCTAAAGAATGTACTCTGTTCATTGGGTGTCACTGAAGTTTCGGAAGTGAAATGCCAAAGAATGATCGGAGTCTTTGACGAGAACGGCGATGGTCGGATTGATTTTGGTGAGTTTTTGAAGGTTGTGGAGCACAGCTTTTGTTAGCCATGGTGCTCTGGGACACAGATGCTCATGGTTTGTTCTCTGTTTTTTTTTTTTTTCTTGTGTTTTTTTTTCCTAGCAAATTTGGGGAGGGGACTGAAACACAGGTACACCCGCTCGAGGAGTTGGGCGTTCTACCAAGTACCAACTAAACCATTGAGTAATGCCCGATGCTCATGCGTTCACTCCCAGCTTTTGTTAGCCTTGGTGCTCTTGGACACATGCTCATGGGCTCACTCCCAGCTTTTTTTAGGCATGTTTTTCAGGGTGTGAATAGAGAACCAAATGTAATTAGTCTTGTTTATCTGCTTTCTTCAATTAAAACATTAATATGTTTTTGGTATGCAAGAATGGAATGACAACCATTTTCTTTATTTGGTATAAAATTTAAGATGAGAATGACTAGTCTTTAAAATGAAAATTCATTACAAATAATGAATCTCCATTCCACATGGTGATTTCTGTTCCAAGTAACTTTTTAAAATTTTAAAAAATCAAATTCTCAAAACATCAATTACCACCACCACTGCCTTCGTCACCATCACTACTTTCCACCACCACCACCATTGTCTTTCACTATCACCACCTTCAACACTTTCTATCACTGCCAGTTCCACCATCGTCACTGCCACCCCCAACACTGTAGCCACCTTCCACCGTCACTAGCACCGCCACCAGCACCGCCACCTCCACTACCTTCCACCACCGCCACCTCCACCACCACCACCACTATCGCCGCCTTCCATAACCACCACACATCAGTCACCATCACCACCACTACCACCTCCACCAACTTCCATCATCACCACCGCCGCCATCGTTGTCGCCTTCCACAGCCATTATTTCTACCACCACCATCACTGCCACCATTATCGCTGCCTTCCACCTACACTGTCACCACCGCCACCTCCATTGCTTTCCACCTACCACCGCACCACTACCTTCCACCACCACCTACACCATTTTCGTCTTCCACCACCATCACCACTGCCTTCCTCTACTGCCACCATCGCAGCTATTTCTTTAATATATATATATATAGAAGAATATTGTTTTGTTACTTTAATTTATTTATTATTGAGAGGGGTATTTTGGAAAATTTAATTTGAAATTCATTTCAGTTTAAATTGGTCCAACCGAACATTAGAATATTTATTATCATTTCATTCCTATATCATTTCATATTTGCAACCAAATAATAAAAATGAGAATAACCATTCCGTTCTCATTCCATTCTCACTTATGTTCCATTCCATTCTCACCTACAATCCACTCCATTCATGCATACTATGGAGGAAAATTTTCCCACCAATCGCGAGGCTCCACGTGTACACCATTGATCAAAGAAGCCAGCCCAAAGAACCGGACCAGAAGGTGAAAAGCCCAACTTCTAAACCGGACCAGAAGGTGAAAAGGAAACTTATTCACCAAATAAGCCCATAAGCAATTATACAGTCGGTGTAGCCCAAAATAAAATCTTGACTAGCACGGTGATGAGTAAAGCGTGAGTAAAGCGTGATAGGAAACTTCATACACCAAATAGGCTCAAAAGCAATTAGACAGTCTGCATGGCCAATTTTCCCACCAATCGCGAGGCTCCACGTGTACACCATTGATTAAAGAAGCCAGCCCAAAGAACTGGACCAGAAGGCGAAAAGCCCAACTACTAAACCAGGCCCAAAGGTCAAAAGAAAACTTCATGCACCAAATAGGCCCATAAGCAATTATACAGTCTGTATGGCCCAAAATAAAATCTTGACAATCACGGTGATGAGTAACGCATGAATAAAAAGGCTAAAGATCAGGGATTGTTTGATAATTCAAAAAGGAAAGTCCTAATAAGAGGGCTCAATTATGGTTACAATATACAATATAAATACGACCCAAATAAAGATAAGTTTAAGTTGTTCAAGGCTATCAGATTCTATTGTTTTTTCTCTTATTATCAAATAATTTTTATTTCGGTCCGTACTAAACGCAACAAATAGAGATCTTACAATAACAAATCAATAAATCGTCATCCATCCATGGCAGGTTCTGTCAACGTTACAAACATAAAAGTCGAATCTCTAGGGTAACAGTCAATACAAAGTTTGGGTGGCATCATTTAGCTGGAATGAACAACCAATTTTTTTGCTACTAATCTGATGCCAGCATTCTGTTGGTAGTCATATGTATCTATGGAGAAGTATGCATCAACAAGAGCTCCTGGAGCAATCAAAGCATCAAGTTCTGCAACATCAAATCTACTAAACACAAGCTTTTGTGCAGAGGTGGAAGATTCTTTCTGATATATCTCTGTGATCCACCTGGTAACATCCCCATCTGCCACGGTCGGTAGGCTGTCGAAATTACATAGAACAGAAGGTAAGCCTTCAATAATAGCGCGACTATGATAGGATTTAATTTACCCAACTACGCACCATTTGCTTGCGAATGGTAGTTGGAAGAAAATAAAAATTCATTATATTATTAACTTTCAGATGATAGAAAAAATAACGCGAACTCAATATTTTATCCTATCCTGAATTTGGACAGGTTTTTCCTGTCAAAGAGCAAAAGAAAGACAAACTTACTGTAATCGGATAGTTGGTGAGTTCAAGAAGCCAGCCTTTCTGGCCACAACAGGCCTCCACTCAGAGTTGCTGCCAGAATCCCCAGATGACTTCTGTGCTAGATTGTCACACTTGTCCAAAACTCGGCATAGGCTTGGAGAAGCATCAACCACAAAACTAAACCGTGGCCGGCCAGCATAATCAACAAATTTTGTACTCATTCCAAAGCGCACTTTCAGACCAGCACAGAAAACCTGCAATATTACATCTTTATAAAGTATTTGTACCCTTTGAGTTCCACGATAAAATGGGACAAGACGCGCAATGATAGATGGTACAGAAACTTTGTCAGGCTCTAAAAAGTCATTGCAGCCAATTGAACCCTCAGATGCAACTGCTGTCGATGACTCAGGGGACCCTGAATTGGATTCTTCTTCCATGGAGTCATCAGATTGAAGAGACTCTCTATCCATTTCATCGCTAAGTGGGCCCAAGTTAAAAGGGTCTGGGCGAGATGTATTGGATTCAACCAGATTTAGAACCTCTTCCCCAGTGTTAGGAGTCACAAGTGATAATATTGGATGATTTTCTACCACTCTTTGATTTGTAGGAGATATAATTTTTTTATTTTCCACCTTAGCACTCGATGAGGGCGTATTTTTGTTCAGCTCAGTTCCTTCTAGAGAAGCTTTTCCATTACTACGACTTCTTGTTGTAGCATTTGGAGAAACCCAACTGTTTGCCGTAAATATGTCCGGAAGGCTCGACTCCTGCAGGTATAGCAGATTTTAGCAAGTTGTTACAAAACATCTTTGCAAATGCAACACCTTAGATCCCTTTGCTTAACCGTCAATCAGAGGCACAAAGAAGGAAAATAATTCTCATTAGGCAAACACCTGATTCAATGTCTGAGCAAAAAATATAACAAAACCTAGCAAGCAAATAACATGCAATCAACTAGAGCTCTATATAAGACTCCCACCAATGTACAAAGACCAAAAATGATGGTAACTACAAGCTACAATATATACCTCACCTACACTTTTGCCCAAAAAAAAAAATGGATGAAATATGATCATCCAATCAATTTTGCATGCACTATATCTCGTGTGCTTATACGTCTAATCATAGGATTAATGAATCCTCAAAAGGGCAGGGGAATATGACTAAATAGTGATATATTCTAATATATTTCTTTTATTCTGTATGAAAAAATAATATTTTTATGTAACATAATGTGTTCAACATAAGCACTTCACTTCTTTTGAAACAATAATATAACAAAAGCAACATAATATGAGAGTTTTATATGCAATTATGTTGAAAACTTATGGAATAAGCTTGTTAGACACATATCCAACTAGACATGCCAGACAAAGGACACATATCACATGCCGATATCCAAGTGTCATGTGCCAGCTGGGTATCTCATATATTTAAAAACCCCAGGTCATCACACGTTTGTGTGAAGGTGACTAATGTTGAGAGATAAAAAAAGAAAAACTAGTGCACAAAAAGCTCTCATTTAAGATTGAAACTAAATCAAACTTGCCAGAAGAATGAATATAGTAGGATAAGAGAAAGATCATAATGAACACTACAAGTCCAGGGGTGCAAAATGCAAAATACAGCATAAAAATGAATTTAGCATAAAGAAGAGATAGCAATGTGAAACGCTAAAATTCCAGTAGAATTTTGACTTTTCACTTGATTTCAGTAAAGGCATCTACATAACAATGGCATGCAATATGGAGTGATAAAACATGATATTGTACAAGGTTCAACAACATTTCCAGGAGAACTGAAAGAAAACATGTGAAATTGGCAGCAGGATAACTAAGTGGAGCATGGTTTACAGAATTTCAGGAAGATATTAATCAAAACAATTGTGAATAAGGAAGCAGCTCCTCATCCAGAAAAACAGAAGACTTGTAACTTTCAAGAAAATAAGGTTACCAAGAATAAAACTGTCGCACAGTACTTGAGAACTTCGAGATTCATCCGGACATCATCTAAACTCCTGAAATTTTATTACAGAATAAAAATAGTCAAATCTAAATGTTAAGATTTGACAGGAAAAAACAAAAAGTAAAAAATCATTGTAGACTGACAATTTAACTTGACAAACATTATTCAGAAAATTATTACATGCTCATCTTACATCATCAACTGCTGATCTATATTTTGTTCATTTTAGATTTAGAATGATAAAATATTGATGCAACTCTAACACGCCTTCCAATAAAATCCCTTAGGTAGGAAAGCAAAGCAGATATAATACACGATACAATGTGTTGTGGATGTAGCAGAGTAATACTATAGTACTCCAAAGAATTTTAGAGTTAGAAAGAGGATGATGCGAGAGAATCTTAGAGAGATAATTTTAGAGAGAGAGTGGGAGAGAGAATTTGGGATCGTGTGAGAGAATTTTAGAGAGGGAGAAGAGGTGAATTTGAGTCGAATAGAGGATGTGAAACTGAGTTTCTTATATAATGGGTGAAACATGGGTCAAAATGGGTAACCCATAGTCAATCCCTTTAATCCTCTATAAAAATGGGTTGAATATGGGTCATCCATTTTGACCCATGTTTTAAAAATGGTTCACCAAATCCATTTTAAAGTGGGCGGCTATGAGCGGGTTGGTGGGTCATAACCCATTTTGCCACCCCTATGATAAATGCACAAATTTATAAACTCTACGATCCTATCCACTTATATAGCATTCATAAATTACTCAGCGGCAATCAAATTAAGACTTAAGAATCAGAAAACTTAAAAGGAAAGCTCTTAGTGGAAAAAACCAAAAATTTCAACAAAAGTTGGACCTAAAGAAAAAAGAAAAAAAGAAATCAAACTTACATTAGAGAAGGGCTAAATTTAAGCAGTTGATACTAAAATAAAAGACTAGTCTCAACTCAAGACTTTAGTCAGGTTGAGGAGCATAAATATAACTTGATAATATGAAGTCTCAACTCTACAACTTTAGTAATTAAATAAATGATACTGTTTGTAGATGGTGGAGATGCATGCTAAAAGGGATGGATGGGAAAGCACAATTACCTATGTGTTTGTTGTCCAAGCCCAAAATAAGTTGCAAGAGTGGCCATCTGCATAGAAGAATAAGGTTATATCAGCAAAAGAAGTCCACTGACCAAAAACCAAATACTTTAAACTAATTTTAAAAGGTTAAATCCACATAACTCCAAAACCAAAGAAGTCATGTTCCCACAGTGACTCATGAATTTGACATGGATGATTAGCATTTGAAATATAGATAAAAATAATGACAAACATACATAACTATAACTCAACTCAGCAAGTTTAGTCAAATATCAATCTTTCTTTAATCGACTCAACATTCATCAACTAATACATTGGCATCCATAATTTTTTCCCCAAAATGGATGCAAGTGAGTTCAACTCATTCCCAGTCAATGAGTTATAATATAAATTTTTCCTCAAATATTATATAGCATTTTAGAGCATCAAATTTTCTTTCTTATTGGTCCCCAAACAACCATCAACTATAAAAGCTGAAGTTGTTAGGAATGGTGTAACTTCCCCCTCATGGGTGGCCTTCTTTTGGTTCAACATAAGTTTCAATTTTAACTATCTATGAGTTTTCAAATCAAGACCTTGCTTGCTCTAATACCATGTTAAAATCCATTTACTCTCAAAGCTTAAGTTAGAGAGGTTGTAACTTGAATATTTAAATTCTCTAATACACCCCCTCACGTGTGGCCTTCGTTTGGTCTAACACGTGTTTCAATTTTAATTATCACACGTGAGATTTGAACAGGACCTTGCCTGCTCTAATGCCATGTTAACAATCATCTACTCTAAGCTATTAGCAGGTGTGCCTTGAATACTTAAATCCTGTAATACTTAGAAAAGTAAAAAGGCCAATAATCCAAAGCAAAAGAAGGGAAAAAAACAGTTCTTTAAGATTGGAACATCATCGGTCACTGTAAAATCAAAAGCCACATTGAAAGCAAATGGGAGAATGGAAGCCTTCAGAGTCATGGACCAAATTGAGACACTTGCCATGTACCTTTAAGATAGTAGTTTACTGGTAGAAATAAGCTTGGGTGAACCATAGAGGAGAGGAAAATTATAATCATTTTGCAGTGCATTGGGCTCATGTTATTTGGTCTAGGCTGCCTCGGCACAACTAAAGGAAAGAGACAGACCAATCACAGACTTGATAGCCTAGAATTACAAATTAAAATTAAAGCCATATGATTGTTGGAATAGCTACACATGGTCCTTGGACTTCAAAATGAGAAATACTACTATACTAGATAGGAAATAGCAAAAAAGAAGTGAAAAACAAAAGCCCACGAGGCAATGTCTCAATTCCAACTCCTCAAAACGTTAAAGCTGTTTTTTTCTCCAATTCCACGTCATAAACATAAAACCTATGTAGTGAAAACAAATTTCCAATTAATGAGCAAATTTCCTACCTACAAAAACCAAACTCAATCAAATTGTCAAATAAACCAACCATTTTTTGTAACCAATATCCTATTAATATGGTCACATTTTGGTTCAAAACATTCTGAGATTTTTCTCAGACCTAAAAAAAAAACTTTATATCATTTGAGAGAGAGAAATTAAACCTTCATATCACCAGCTCTTCTTCCAAATCTTTGAGTCAACAAAGCTAACGAATCAATCGTACCCTTGGGCTCCGGTGGCTTCCGATTAATCTCCGCAAATGCCTCCCTAATCCGAGCACAATCGAACCTCAATATATTGTGACCCGCCCATATCCTCCCTATAAACAATCAAACCCATAATCATCAACATTCACATTCACACATACATATAGAGAGAAGGGTAATGGGTCAGGTCGGGTCAGCCTGATTACCTTGGAGAATATCGTAAACCCTATCGGCGATGTCGCCGAAGGATGGGGAGGAAACGACGGCGTCTCTGGTGATGCCATTGCACCTGACAGACAAGGACGAGATGAGGGAGAGGTCAATGGGTCGGACCAGAGTGGAGTAGCTCTCCAACTCAACGAGCTTCTTGGGGCAGACCAGGATGGCTCCGAATTCAAGAATGGCGAATCCCTGTCCGGGTCGGGTCGGAACGCTCGTCTCCACGTCGAAGAATGCTATCTCCGATCGATCTCCACTCGAAACCATCTAACTTTATCTCTCTAAAATCCGAATTGAATATGAATTTGTGTGTGCAACTGTGTGACTTGACTCTCTGTGTATAACTGTGACTCTATATATATATATATATATATATATATGAGGGTTGTGTACTTGTGTTTGGGACTTTGGGGGTTGCTTGGTTACGGAGATAATCTGGTGACGGTGATTCGTACGTAAGAAGGTAACAGTGAGTCGTACGTAAGAAGGAAACGTGCCAAATGAGGCACACGTAAGAAGAAAACGTGTTGTATTTTACTTCAATACCCCTGGGGTAATTCAAAATATTCTAATCTAATTTTATAAAAACTTAGCAAATCATATTAGGATTTATTTATTAATTATTTTTTAATCTTTAAATGTTGGAACGTGGGTTTGATGGAATTTGAATTCTAAAATGGAATTCTTGCTGTTTGATAGGAATGAAATCAAAATTAGAGTTGAATTTGATGGCATTTCCAATTTCAAAATATAGTTGTATTAAATTCCATTAAAAAAATGGTTGGATTTCATTAGATTTAGAATTTATATAATTCATATTTTTGTTTTAGTATTCAAAATTTCAGTTTATTCTAATTATACAAACAAAATTTTATTCGTTAACCTCATTTAATTCATTTTCCTATTCCTTGATTTCCAAATAAAGTGGGTTTGAAAATGCTTTTTTTTTTTTCCTATTGGCAAGAAACACACACTACACACACCCTTTTTTTTTTTTTATCTGAATTCCAATCATCCCTATTCACTTTTTTTTTTTTTTTTTCCTAATTCACTTTGCAAGTCAATGGAGATACACTAAGTCACGAGGCCTATGGTAATCAACGAAGTGAAACCATAATTCTAATTCTAAGTGCAACGCATGAATACGGGGAATTTTTTTATTAGAATAATTTATTGTTTATTATGTCAAATTCTTCTCCTTAATAGGAATCAAAATGCAATGAAAAAGATTTTAATTAATTGATTTGAGTTACCAACAATTTATCAAAGGGTAATTTTAAAAAAATAATAATAATAATAATTTATCAAAGGGTGATACTCCTTAACCTCTTAAGATGGAAGATCGGGAGTTCAAGTCACGTTAGGGATAAAAAAAAAAATGCGTGAACTTTTTGTCAAGGTAAAAAATAAATAAATAAAATAAAAAATAATTGATTTGAGTTAAGTAAACGGCTTTATTAATTAATTAATAAGATATTAATCCTCTGTTAAATTATAAAGATTTGATTAATCATGATTTTTTTTTCCCCCTAGATTATTCATAAAAGCCACCAACATGTCCCTTGCACAACTCACTCAAGAAACCTATAAATATTGTTTATGTGTCTGACCAACATGTGATGGAATCAAAGTCCTTTAAGCCATGAGATTTCTTCATAAGTTGCTGCTATGCAGCAGAGGGAGAATTACAGTATATTCTTAACCCAAGGAATATATATATATACACACACAGTTACACACACACAGTATATTCTTTGCCTTTCAAACTCTGAGGACCTTCTTGTCTTAAATCTCAAGTCTTCTTTTCTTCCTGAACTGTATTAACAGTTGCCTCCACTTCTGGGAATGGGATATCCTAAAACTCATTTCTAATACTTAGTCAAGTAATCTCTTTTCATAAACAAGGCATCACATAGTAATCTCATCACAGACATCATAAACATTAATATTAATTATGTTCCCCACATGTCAATACATGTTATCTATATAATAATCTTGTTAAAATACACACACACACACACACACACACACATATATTATAATCATGACAATATTGGCCCTAGCCATGCCCACACCATTGCATTAAAAACACACACACCCCACACACCACACCCAAACATATGGTATTTCCTTCTCCTTCTAAGAAAAAAGAACACACACACACACACACCTGATAAGGCTTTAGCAGTAGTCTTTAAGCTCATGCCTCCAACTCAATTGGATGTTAGGTTCAAAACAAGACCTACATTCTTCAACCTGTGCTTCAGTGTTTATTCTATTTAATTTTTCATTAAAAAAAGAGTTTGCGGGGTTAAATTATTTTGACAAAACAGCACATAGAGTTGGCAATTATGATGCAGAAATTCCGATATATTTAATATGTCAAAATTTCTCAGTAAATTCAACTTAGCATTGAACATTGCACTAATTTCATCTCTAGATTTGGGATGATTGTGTCAATATACTAAATCATCATCAAATCTCTTATGTGATGTTTCAATTTTAGATACATTACAGGTCCACCTGAATGGGATAAGTTTCTTGCTATGACTAAAGCTTAGACAGCAAATTCAAATAACAGTAACACAAATGTCAAATGTGTTCGCACGCGCAGACACATATACAGCATAAAAATAACCCATTTTATATGCTCAATACAGCATTTCTAAGCAATATCTTTCATGATCTAACTTACAAGAAAATGTCAAATATCTAAGATTTGGGTCTAAACTAGTCCAAATTTTAAATGCTTTTACTACATAAATAGGTGAATTATGTGAAACTAATACAAAACGTCCGAAAGTTGACTTTCATCAAAATTAATACACTGGAGAAGGATGTTCCCTACACTGTCATGAATCTCGATACATAATCAGTTTCGAGAATGCTGAGAAGACTGATATATATATATATATATATATATATATATATATATATATATAAGGAACTGCATGTATATATAAGCCATAATGTTTTTTTTTTTTAATTTTTGAATGTAAATTTCTTGAGCATCACATAAAATGTCAAATCCAATGATTTATATTTAGTGTTTCCTTTGCCGTTATGTCTTTAAGCATGTATGAGGTTCCAGGAAGAATGTCTGCATTCAAACCTCATTTTCATTGTCATGGCCAGGAAGGCAAGAAAAAGAAATTAAATCTCATGATTATCATTGCAAGTAACATCTTAGCTGAATGTTCTTTACAAATGTTCCTTTTGGCGTCCTCTGTTTTGTTTCCTTGGCCACTAACTAGGCACTTGGTTGGTCCCAATCAAGGAAGGATTTGGTGCCAAAGCAGAAGTAAAAATTAGTCGAATTTTGGGATGTTTTGGCAATAAGGTGCAAACGCTGCTAAGATTAGGACTACAAAAAATTTGAGAACGAAAATAGATGTTCAAAACAATGGAATATTTCATATTCACTGAAATTCTCTCAATTGGAGTATACAGCCACAATTTAATTTGTTTCCTCCATCAAATTAAAACTTTCTACTTTCTAATTATTAAGGGACAGGAACTGCAAGTTGCCAAGGAAAATGGGCATCGACAGTGATTAGGAATAACTGAAAAATTGTCGGGGCATGTATGAACTATGGCTACAGATATTCATTGACAAAAGATGGAGTTCGTTCATCCTCCAAACAAAACTCCTCAAAGCACAGACCCATCAAGACAGATAATAGTAATAATTCATATTATGAAATCCTAATATGATCACATGTAATCATGTGCATGCAACAAAGTACACTCATTTAATATGCTCCTATCTCAATAGAAATGATAATTCTATTTGTTGATGTGCAATGGCAATTCTTATATACGTGATACAAAAAATAATAATTAACTAACCTATCAAAAACTGGAAGTGGCTCTTTACCACCTTCAGGATTCTTGTATAGATCATTAGATTGAAAGGGTACGAAAGAAAGGGGATACAAGCCGCGAGGATTTTAAGAAAATATCATATGTTCTATTGCACAAAAATGGTATTTTGAACAGTGAGAAAGGGTAAATGCCTCATACCATAGCTGAAAACGTTGATATAAATCCTGAAGATTGAAAGAGATGTGACCCAAAGATCCCCTGCAAATCCACTAAATGCCAGTGTTCTGGGATGCAGTTTGAGCTAGAAGCAAAGAGTCACCTTTTTCTAACTAATTGTCTTCTTTTGCTCATTGTCCGGAAGCAGCTCTGACATATCTGGCCTGTGGCCCTCCCATTTTGCTTGCATTGCGATCCCCTCGAGCATCTCATAGATTGAAGATGCTTGTCTGTGGGTCCTGTCGCCAGCCATAAAATCATAAATGATTCCATCAATTTGGACCCAACTTCGGCCAGGAGGCTTTTTCACACCCATCCCAACCAACATCTGTCTTACAATCATAACATCACGCCATCTTTTAGCAGTAGCATACACATTTGACAAGAGCACAAGATAGCCAGCAGCTTGGTCAGGGTGAACCTCTAGAATTAACTTTTGGGTTACAATGGTGGCAAGGTCCACATTCTTGTGAATCCTACAACCACCAAGGAGTGCCACCCATACCGCATCATTCGGCTTCATGGGCATAGTCTCAACAAGCTCATGTGCTTCATTTAAGAAACCAGCACGGCTTAGTAGATCAACCATGCAACCGTAGTGCTCAATCCTCGGCTCAATGCCCCAATTTCGATTCATGCACTTGAAAAGGTGGCGTCCCAGATCGACAAGTCCAGCATGGCTACAGGCATACAAAACTCCAATAAACGTTATATAATCAGGTCTGGCTTCATTCGCTTCTGAAGTTTGCATCCATTGAAAGACATGAAGAGCTTCTTCTCCACGGCCCTGTTTTGCAAAACCTGTGATCATACTTGTCCAAGAAACTGTGCTTTTCCTTGGCATCTCTTTGAATACTTTATAAGCTTCCTCAATCATACCACAACTGGCATACATGTGTATGAGTGCATTGTTCAATGACACCAGTAGTGGTTGGTTTCTAAAGCTCAACGTCTCATCAATGTATGAGTGGATCCACCTCCCCATTTTCAAGTCTCCTAATTCGGCACACGCTGATAATGCCGCCACCAGTGCAACCTGGTCCAACTCTATCCGAGCTCTCTGCATCTGGTGAAACATAGATAGTGCTTGCTTACACCTCCCATTATGAGCACAACCGGCAATCATTGTTGTCCACGAGACCACATTCCTCTCTGGCATCTCATCGAAAACTCTACGTGCCCCATCAATGTCCCCACACCTAAGATACCCCGAAAGCAACGAATTCCATGTCACAACATTTCTCTCAGCCATTTCATCAAACACACGGCGTGCACTCCCAACACCACCATCCTCTTCAACCATTGCATACAAATTAACCAAATTACTCCAAACAAACACATTGGAGCAAAACCCATTTGAGAAAACTCTTCCGTGCAATTGTTGGCCCTCTCTCAACATCCCTTTTCGCGCACAAGCATTGATCACAAAAGAAAACGTGAACCCATTTGGCACAACATCGGTCACTTCCATTTGATTGTAGAGCTCAATTGATTTATGTGGTGTTTCGCTCCGGGCATGGCCTCTTATCATTTGGTTCCAAACAGGAGTACTAGGGTTTTTGACTCGTTCGAAAACTCGGTGAGCGTGTCGTAGACAACCAGAAGTGATGTATGAAGATAATAACTTAACAAGAATAAAATTTGTGTGGGTAAAGCCGTTAATGATTATCTGGGTATGAATTTGGGAAAGCTTTTTTAAGGAGTTGGAGTTCTGCAAGAAAGAGTAGAGGTGTTGTTGCAGAGCTCTAGAGCTTGTTGTTGGATTGGCGGGAATGGGTTCTTCAAATGACATTCAAAAAGTTGGTAAGAGCAGCCTCAACAACCGGATTGAAAATCTTATGAAGCTCTGTTTAGTGTTAACACTTTTCTGTAGCTAATTTTTTTTTAATAAATGAAAGTAACAAAATTACATTTCAAAACTGGACTTTGAGTTTGTGGGTCTGTCTATAAGTGTAAATATGTGATTTTATTTTTACTTAGAATGTAAATTATTAATTTTTTCATAAATTTTATTTCAATTTATTTTGAAAAATAAAAAAAATAAAATCGGATGTGAATATTTTCCTGACTAATAATTACTTTTTTTATACAAGCTTAACTGATTTTTCTAACAATTGAATTCGTGTCCAATCGTTGTCCTCTAAATATGAGGACACCTCTGAAGTATATCATTGAATAAAATTCATTTAATTTCAGTAAGTAATTAATTAAATTCAATTGGTGGTAAAAAAAAAAATATTAGTTAATTCAATTTTGTTGTAATGATTTTAATTCTTGATTATTTTTTTTGAAGGACCACTATAATATTTGAATGGACAATACTTAAAGTCCTCACCAATGAGGATCTATACCACCTTCATTAGTAATGTGGACTAATAATAAATCACTATTTTTGTGATTTAGTAAGCGGGTATTTACCTGTCATATTAAATTTAATAATTAAAGATGATATGTATATTTATTATTGATTCACATCACTAATAAAGACGATATAAATCTTTATTAGTGAGGATCTAAGCATTACTTTTGAACCACCACTCAAAATTCCATGACTTTTTTCTTTCTTTCTTTCTTTCTTTTTGCTAAGCAAGAGATTCAAGACAACTTAAAGTCTCATAAATTTCCAAAGACAGATGAGATAGTATAGGACTATTAGTAATAATTATCAACTTCATTAATTCAATCATATTGAAAGAAAAAGCCCCCTCCAATTCTTCAATAAATAAGCTAAAATAAATAAAAATAAAAAACTTCACTTATGCTATGTTGAGTTTTTTTTTTTTTTTTTTTTTTTTTGAAAATTAAAGCAATTTTCATTAAGTGAAGAAGTGTACAAAAGTTAGGCTTGGCCCATAAGAAAAAGCAGCCCAAGGTTGCAATACATGTCCAAATTAGGACATACATAAAGCAAGATAACCACCACTAACTGCCGTTAATGGAGCATCAATACAATCCGGTGAAAACAAAGGAGGGCTAAGCCTTGATGTCTCAGTCCGGCAGCCGAGGAGGAGGCCTAAAACATGAAGGAGATAAATTCCAATCCATGAGGATCAATTTCATTGAAGCGCATTCTCTCAGACAACCTAACTTCAGAATACTTGTTATTGTGGAGCAAACTTTTGCACAGACGACTCTCTGGGATGATTTGTGTCCTTTGAAAATTCGAGCATTTCTCTCTTCCCAGGTATGGTATACCAAAGCCGATATGCATAATTTCCTATGCAAGTTAATTGGGGTATTTGCTGTCCATTTAGTGCTGATCCACATTACAAGATTCTCCCAACTTGTAATTGTTGTGTGAATGTTGCTCTTGTATTTGGTAAAATGCCATAGAGGGGAGGTGAAGTTGCAATTAAAAAATAGATGATCATAAGACTCACCTGATATGTTGCAGAGGGAGCAAATGTTATGGTGTTTAGCCATAGATTTACTGTCGAGTGTTGGTAGTTTGCATTGAGCAGCCAGCCAAAGATTGAATTTCATTCTTGGTATAGTTGGAGAATGCCAAACAAGGTTGTGCCATTGGACAATAGGAAGGTCACCTACCATGTGTGCCACAGTGTGTCTGAATGAGTAATTACCATTAGGTGAGACTGTCCACTTCTTACTGTCACTTCTAGAAGTGCATGGAGGTGGTAGTGCGAGCAATTCAGGGATTGCACTAGTAAGAGAGGGAGGGAATGACCAGTTGCTGTCGACAATGAATGTATCCATAATTGTTGTACCATTGAAACCAGCTGCAGTGAGTAGATGAAGTGGAAATCTTGAACTTAAAGGACCCCCTAGAGCACAATTGTCCCACCAGAAGGAAGTGTTAGCACCATTACCTATAGAGTACTTTATGAGTTGTCTAGCAGGGTGCCTTAGTTGGAGGATTTTCCTCCAACTCCAAAAACATGGCTGAGGGTAGTTCAATGACCATAGGTTTCTGGACTTCAGTAGATGAGAGTGGCACCACCTTACCCACAATCTATTTATGTCTTCTTTGAGAATGTCCCAAATGAATCTGATTATTCCAGCCTTGTTTGTAATCTCCAAATTGGGGATCCCCAAACCACCTGCAGATTTAGGACTACACACCCTAGTCCAAGCTACTTTAGAACCTGAAGACTTCATTTCTGGCCCTGACCACAGAAATTTCCTAAAAATCTTGTTGAGTTCATCAATTACTCCCTTAGGCAGAATGAAGATGTTGCACCAATAGTTTTGAGTTGACACCAATATTAAATTTATTAATTGGAGTCTACCTGCATATGAGAAAGATTTGGAAGTTCAGTTAGTGATTCTGTGAGTGATTCTGCTTAACAATAAACTGCAATGCTGAGACTTCAAATTTGTAGAGATCAATGGCACTCCAAGGTATCTCACTGGTAGTGTGCCTGATTGAATACCTAGCAATGTAGAAATTTGATACTATGTGTGGTCATTTACACCAGAAAAATAAACCTCACTCTTTGATAAGTTGATGTCTAGGCCTGACATCGAGCAGAAAAGATCAAGAGCTGATTTGAGAACTGAGATTGATGTAATATCTCCATGGAAAAATAGTAACAGATCATTTGTATAGGACAAATGAGTGATTTTGTGTTCTCTGCACCTCTAATGGAACTTGAAAGAGGGCACCCTTCCCACATAATTGTTGACAATAGAGGAAAAAACATCCATAACAATCACAAACAGGAAGGGGGAAATGGGATCCCCTTGCCTAAAACCCTTTTTACCTTTGAAAAAACCTTGGAACTCACTTCACTGAGTCAAATGCCTTCTTGAGATCCACCTTGATTGCACATCTTGCTGGTCTTCCATGCTTGTGATACCCTCTTAGTAACTCATGTGCTAGTAGTATAGGATCTGTTATCCTCCTTCCATGGACAAATGCTAACTGGGATTGGTCAATGAGGTGAGGCAGTGTGGACTGTAATCTTATTGCAAGCAATTTGGAGATGCACTTGTATAAGGTGTTTACACAAGAGATACGCCTGTAATCATGAAATGTAGTTGGGTTTTGGCATTTTGGAACCAAGGCAATGTAGGTGTTGTTTGCCTCTGCAAGTAATTTTCCATTTCTAAAGAATTCAGAGATGGCCTTTATAACAGATCTCCCCACAATGTCCCAAGCTTTTTGGAAAAACAAGGTATTATAGCCATCCGGACCAGGAGCTCTGTCCTTATTTAGCTTCATCATGCAAGTCTGCATTTCCAAAATGGTTGCTATGTTGAGTTTCTTTATTCAGTAGAGTTGATACAAAGAAATTCTATCAAAAATGGACTAAAGAAAGGAACGAAGACAAGAAAACTATTATAGAAATTTTAAATTAAATGTTGTCCAAAATTGTACAGATTTTAAATTACAATTATATCCTCTATCAAATGGGGGTATTATCAATTTATCATCCTGTCCCGCATAAATAAGCTTCAAATAAAATGCCGCCAGTTGCTATAAAACAATGTTATCATTGTGCCTATGTCTTGTTTAAAAATACTATTAAATGCTTGAATTTTATAAATTCTTAAAATTACTAAAATTATTTGACGAGGAATCCTATAATTTGTTGTTGTTGTTGTTTTTTAATATATATATTTTACCCATTTAAAAGATCCACTGATGTTGTTTTCGTACTGTTACCAAATCAACGGCCACACAGGTATCTCAATATTAGAAACTGTTGAAGAGAGAGAAAATCGACGGCCGAACAGATGGATGAAGCCATTCTCACCTGACCATGTTGAAGCTTTTCCCGCCAAAAAAGGCATTATTCATCTCCATGAAGCAGAAGCTTCCAATTATCCCAACAAGAACAAACTCTTCATCATCACCACCACCACCTCCTACTCCTCCTCCTCCATTTTCAGCTCCATTTCCATATAATCTCACGAACACCATACTGGACTGTAAAAGTGCAAGCCAAGCTCTCAAAATTTTTAATCAGGCTTCGAATCAAATCGACGCCACAAAGAATCTTCGGCCCTATTCGGCGATCATCCATGTCTTAACCAGGGACAAATTGTACATCAAAGCCAGGTGTTTGATGAAAGACCTCATCCAAAATCTCCAAAAGACTCGCAAACCACACCGTGCTTGTTCCTCGGTGTTCAATGCGCTGAGTCGCTTAGAAAGCTCTGAAGTCACTCCCAGTGTGTTTGGAGTGTTGATTAGTGCACTATCTGAAATGGGTATTGTTGAGGAAGCCTATTGGGTGTATCACAAGATGGTGGAATTGCCTGCAATGCAGGTTTGCAATGCATTGTTAGATGGGTTTGTTAAGATGAGGAGGTATGATTCGATGTGGGAACTTTATGAGAATATGGTTTCACGCGGGGTGTCTCCCAATGTCATCACCTATGGCATATTAATTGATGCCTCTTGTGATCAAGGCAATATTCTGAAAGCCCACAATTTGTTTGATGAAATGACTGAGAAGAGGATTGAGCCGACGGTTGTGATTTACACTACTCTCATAGGCGGTCTGTGTAGTGAGAGTAAAATGTCAGAAGCAGAAAGCATGTTTAGGATAATGCGGTTAGGTGGTGTACTTCCCAATTTGTACACTTACAATACTCTAATGGATGGGTACTGCAAAGTGGCAAATATACAACGAGCTCTTGACTTGTATCAAGAAATGTTAGGGGAGGGTTTGCTGCCAAATGTTGTTACATTTGGTATCTTAATTGATGCACAATGCAAAGTGGGCGAACCGATTGCAGCAAGAAATTATTTTGTGCATATGACTAAGTTTGGCGTCGTCCCTAATTTATTTGTGTATAACTGTTTGATTGATGGCTATTGTAAGGAAGGCAACATGTCTGTTGCATTGGATATGCATTCTGAGATGGAAAAGTTTGGTATTTTGTCCGATGTCTTTACTTACAGTATACTTGTAAAGGGTCTCTGTGGTATTGGTGAAGTGGATGAAGCAGATGGTTTAATGCAAAAAATGAATAAGGAGGGAGTCCTTGCGAATTCTGTTACGTACAATACGCTAATCAATGGGTACTGTAAAGAAGGCAGCATGGACAAGGCTTTGGAAGTGTGTACACAAATGACAGAGAAGGGTATGGAGCCCAATGTCATCACCTTCTCTACCCTGATAGATGGTTACTGCAAGGTGCGGAACATGACTGCAGCCATGGGATTATATACAGAAATGTCAATCAAATGCCTTGTGCCTGATGTTGTTGCTTATACATCTTTGATTGATGGACATTTTAAAGATGGTAATACAAAAGCAGCTCTTCAGCTGCATAAGGAGATGTTAGAGGCAGGGTTCACCCCTAACGTTTTCACTCTTAGTTGCTTGATTGACGGACTTTGCAAGAATGGAAGGATGAGTGATGCAATCAAAATTTTCTTGGATAATACTAAAGATTGCGCTATTGATAGAGAAACGTATCAGATGGATAGTAGCTATTGTTCCCCAAATTATGTTATGTACACAGCTTTGATCCATGGTCTGTGTAAGGATGGGCGGATTTTCAAAGCGACTAAGATATTCTCAGACATGCGAAGCTCCGGTTTGAAACCAGATTTGCTCGCTTACAACATTATTATACTGGGTTATTTTCGAACCAAACAGATGTTTGAGGTGATGATGTTGCACGCCGATATGCTAAAGATGGGTATCATGCCAAATGCAGCGATATACCAGGTCATGGCAAAGGGTTATCGAGACATCGGGGATCTCAAATTATCTCAAAGGTGTTCGGAGGATTTACTGAAATTAGGTCTCAAGTTTCAAGGAGTACGTAACAATAACTTTTTTCTTGGCGATGTAAGCGACAGTCTAGTGGTGACAAGGACAAGAAATCAAGCTGTGAATGGTGATTTATTTGGAGAAGATTTATAACCTTTGCAGGGGGCATGGGACATTACTTTTCCTTAAGTTTGAGGAATTGACAAGTTGTGTTCAACATATACTGTTGATCATCATCAGTATGCTCCTTGTGAAGTATGAAGACAATGACATTTATGGACTTTCCTTTGGACAGGTTTGAACCTATGGGATCATGTAATTTATTGTTTGGACAAGGAGCTAGATTCCAATGGCAGGAGGGTAAATTGAAGAGCTTGCTGTGAGCGTTTATCAGAAGCCAGTTGATTTGGCTTTAATGAAGGACCAGTGATATCAATAATTGTTTGACTTGACTCATCAGATTCTTTGTGGTGGGATGATATGGAGTCAAAACCATTTTTTACTTCTATTCCTTTCATAATTTGGTATGAACACCAATCAGTGTAAGATATTTGCCAAAGATAAAGAAGAGAGTGAGGTGTAAAACCCAAATTTTTTTTTTTAATGCTGGCAAGCTAGGGGAGGGTACTCAAACACAGGCACACTTGTCCGGACATTAGAGAAGTGTAAAACTACCATTTACCATTATGTACTGCAGATAAGGTGAAGTAAATTTAGAATTCAAAATTTTCATATTAAGGAACATTGTCAAATTCTTTGTTCCAAACAAAATATTCCAGCCACTGCTTTAGTAGTTTTTGTGGTGTATTATATAAGGCTGAGATTGTTGCAGTTTTTATGTGGTTCCTTGTCTATGAAGCACCCCCACAAAAAACAAAACAAAAAAAAGATTGTTCTCTTCTTCTTCTATAAGAAGGATAATTTGGTATGAACACCAATCAGTGTAAGATATTTGCCAAGAAAAAGAAGAGAGTGAGGTGTAAAACCCAAATTTTTTATTTTTTATTTATTTATTTATTTTTTAATGCTGGCAAGTTAGGGGAGGGTACTCAAATACAGGCACACTTGTCCGGACATTAGAGAAGTGTAAAACTACCATTTACCATTATGTACTGCAGATAAGGTGAAGTAAATTTAGAATTCAAAATTTTCATATTAAGGAACATTGTCAAATTCTTTGTTCCAAACAAAATATTCCAGCCACTGCTTTAGTAGTTTTTGTGGTGTATTATATAAGGCTGAGATTGTTGCAGTTTTTATGTGGTTCCTTGTCTATGAAACACCCCCACAAAAAACAAAACAAAACAAAACAAAAAAAAAGATTGTTCTCTTCTTCTTCTTCTATAAGAAGGAGAATAGAGGTATATAATTTGTGTAACCTTCCAAGAATAGATATTTGGCATGAATATGATAAGGAAACTAATGATCACCCATTTTGTATAATATAACATTATTTTTTTTTTTATTATTATATTTTTTTATGCTTTCCTTTTGATCCTTCTCTAATTATCCAAAATACAGGATATTACTTCAATATTTTTTCCTTTCTTTTTTCTTTTCTCCTTTAATTATTTAATCTCATTTTTTTGAGGGGTAATTTTTTTTTCATTTCTGCATCTCATAACTAATAGTATTATCATAAAAAAATCAGTTTTTATATTGGTCAATATCATTTTCATATATATATATATATATATATTAAAAAATATGACCTAATTTTTCATTTATTTATCTCATGACTAATATTAACATAAAAATCAGTTTTTTATTGGTCAATATCATTTTAATAATTTTTTTTAAAATATGACCTGCAAAAAAAAAAAAAAAAAAAAAAAAGTAAGAAGAAGAAGGAAAAATAGGGAATGCACTATGAATCTATGATGACTATTGAAATTAAAAGTTGAATATTTACACAAATAATAATAAAAAATTAAAAAATAAAAAATTTGAATGAAAGACCTGCACTATGACCTTCCACGCTTTCACCCTCCAAAGCTGTCGTCCTCGTCTTTTGCTCACCATTTTACGTCTCTCCTCCATTTGTCCTTCCTACCAAAATCCTCAACTTCTCTCTCTCTCTCTGTCTCTCTCAAAGGGAACCTAAATCATATAGCCACTTTCCCCTAAATCATAGGCACATCAAATAAATATATATACATATACATATATAGACACACCATATATGATCAAATAAATTTTGGGGTTTTTAAAAGTTTCTTTTTCAAACGTAGAGATGGTCAATTAGAGCTCATGTAATCCAGACAAATAGTTCTCCCAAGCTTGCATTCCGGGTCCGAGCCCGGATCAATAACGGGTTCGGTCAAATTTGCAGGCGATGGAAGATGGTAGTGATGGAGGCTTTGCGCGGACAGAGATTAGGGTTTATCATTATATACCCAGATTGATTTCTGTCGCACTCTCTGGAGCTCTTACTGGACTCTTTGCTCTTGGTAATTTATTTATTTTATTCATTTATTTTTGAATGTTTAAACTGATTGGACGTGAATTGAGCAATTCAGATTCTGGGTATTTAGGAATTTTTCTTTCATAGATAAAATTTTGATAGTATTATTGTACAATTGAATTGTATTTCCATGATTATTTGAGTTGGATTGCTGTGTTGTATGCTCAAGTATTTCTGTTTTTGAGCATGTTAAAATTCTCATAATATGATCACAGTTGTATTGAAGGAATTGATTCAGTGGTGGGTATTTGGATTATTCGATAGGAGTGACATAAGGTAGGATGGTGGTTTTCCAACGCAAAATATCAATGAGAGTTGTTTTGGAACTATGTAATTGTAGACTTGTAGTGTAGTGGGGAATTACATAAACTTGTTGTCCACTGAGGTCTTTAGTAGTTCTGAAATGGAATGAAGATTTATTGGTGCTTTTTAAATTTCAAAAATTAGGTAAGTAAGTTATGTTGGATGGATTGATAACTCGAGCATTCTATTTTGTGATTTTGACTCCAGAGCTTAAGGAATTCCCTAAATATTTAAATTTCTTCATTTGTAGAATAGTCAATGACTGGGAAAGTGACTTTTGATGAATGGGAAGTAGTAAGAAATTTGAAAATCACTTTGTAAAGCAGGGCGAAACTTGACCTCGTGCTCTTTGATTCGTAGAGGTTTGGCAATGAAGTGAAGAGGCTCTTGTGGAGAGTGATATTGATAAAGAATATGTGAGTTTGTGACAATTGGAGTAATCCTTTTGACATTGCTTCTTCCTTTGCCTTTGTTTGTTGAAAGCTACTGTATAATGTGGTTCCCCTTTAAAATATGCTTTTAAATTTTGATTGGACTGTGTAGTTGTTGACACTTATAACAACAGATGATCGAATTTGGGTGCCTTAATATGATATAGTTAGCATAGCAGTTGATGTTGCCCAGGTAGAGAATTCAATGGGTATAATATTTAGTGAACTGATTAGCATTTGGATGAAGGTAGAAACTTGCAAAATCTAACTGTAGAGTAGATTAGTGTAGTTCTTAAAAGGACAAGCTCACATACCACAAACTATGGTGCTCAATATTAAGCCTAAGAAGAAGATATAGAAGAAGCAAAGAAATTTTAGAAGTAAAAAAGTCTATTACTTGGTGAAGCAAAGAAATCATCTAAATTGAGAATGGTACTCTCAAAAACCTTCCTTTAGACATAAGAAATTACAGCATTGCTATACAGTCTTATACAAATATGTTTATGTACACTTTGTAGTTAGAAATTTGAGAAACTTTGCTGTTACTGTCCTTGTATTTGTGTGGAAGCAACTGTGGAATCAATATCCAAGTAAATACCCATCAAAAAACAAGATAAGGAAAAAAAAAAAAAAAAAAAAGGTGAAAATTATCATAAAGATTGTACCGTTAACTGAATTTCATTACTTCTTTGTAATTTTATTTTTTATAGATATTTGTTCAGGCTTTCTTCCTAAGATTTGGTGCCTTTTTTCCATACCAGCAAATCAAATTGAAATTTGCAGGTTGCAATGCCTCCTAATGGATAGTGTTTTGTGCCTGTTAGTTTGGTATGCTTAATTTTTATTTGCATTGGCAATTCTTTAACCATCACTTTTTTTTTTTTACCGGTTACTAATGTTAGTGATTGGTGAATACTTACTATTAACCACCATCTACTAAAAGCTTAAGGTATTAGAGAGGGTGTAACTTTAAAATCTAATATTTCTAACATGCCTCCTCATATGTGGCCTTCTTATGGTATAACACGTGTTTCAGTTTTTAATTATTAGGGTGATGGTGAGATTTGAACTCAGGACCTTGCCTGCTCTGATACCACCATCTACTCTAAAAGGTTAATCTCTTAGAGATGGTGTAACTTTAATATTTAAATCCTCTAACACTGATTGGGATGTGGGAAATTTTGTTTATACAAAGATGATGTGGGGAGTTTTGTGGATTCTAATTGCTAACATAGAGTTAATACTAGGAGCAGTCAACAAATTAATTCTGTGGCGGTTGATATGTGCTTATATCGTAATACTAGTAAAAATGTACTTGCATTACATTTGTTTAAAAAGGTATTAACTCTCTATTTTAACTGATATAAAATAATTTAATATTACTGAAATAATGTACAATCAACTAAACAACCCAGAACCCACTAACTAATTTAAACCAATTTGGAAAAGCAACCCAAAGAAAAGTGAAAACTTAAAACCACCATACAATCTCAACCCCATAAATCAATCACCAAAATTATCACTAACAAGTAAGACAAACTGTAGAACAAATCCAATTGTGATAAAAAAAAAAAAAAAAAAAAGAAAAAAAAAAATGTGAGCTTTAAGGTGAGACACAAAAGGTAATGACCGTGACGCCCATTCAAAGATATTGCTTTTGTCAACCAAACCGGTAGATTAGCCATCCACGGGGTTCTTGATGAAGAATCAATAATTTAGAGCCTGTAAAACATCTAAAACCACACAGACCTACATGCTCATAGAATGTTGTAAAATCAAACTATGAAACAAAGAAACAAATTGTACGAACTCTCAATTCATGCCTCTATAATTCCCTTTTTTTTTTTTTCTCTAGCAGGTACTGCTGTGTACATTATAACTAAATCAAGAAATTTAAAAATAGAGGTCAAAAAATAAGTTTATCCAGAATTGAATCTCCCAAATTAAAGACCTGTTTCCATGTTTAATTATTTATTTGAAATGTTCCTAGCACACATGCTAAGCTCATAAACAGTATGAACAAAATAATGAAACATAGTTAAACCATGGTTATCTAAAATTGAATGCAGCGAAGTTGATCCAGCATGACTTCATCACTCGGTGAAGGAATCTGCAAAAAGAAACCTTTGCTGTCCTATCAACTCCAAGCATATAACATACCTTTTATGTAGACGTTTAAATGCATCCATGCATTTGAATGAAAAAAAGAACTCCAAGATGCAAAGCCCTCAACTGATGCCATATCCTCAATATTCTCAACTCCATATTCATTCAGTTTTTGTTTCAACTGAAAGCCAATTTGTTTAAACGAGTAATCGATAATTGAAAAAAAAATCTTGAGATTGCCAAATGTTCGTGTCCGTTAGGAAAATGAAACGATGTGTCATTTAGGAAGAAAATCAATAATAGTAATTTAATTTAAAGAGGTATTAACTCTCTAGTTAATTAATATAAATTTACTGAAAATGTATATCAATAATAAAATGTATACATTTTTAAAAGTCGAATAGGTAAATATAGATTATTGAGTATTGATCGCCTGACTTATCATTATATGTTTGACTTGCAGCTGGGGCCTTCACAGGATCTATTGCCGGGGCTTTAGCAGGCAGGGCTTCTGATTGTGGTGTCCTACGTGGAGCTGGACTGGGTGCCATTGCTGGAGCTGTTCTTTCTATAGAGGTTTTGGAGGCTTCCCGTGCTTACTGGTGTTCAGAACACTCCAGTTCAGGAAGCTCATCATCAATGGTTAGCAAACTCAGTTCAGTGCATGTATATGTTTCTCTATTATTGTTATTATTCTTCAAGTTTGGTACTTCGAAGTCATGTATACCCTATCATAACACAAACTCTTAGTACAGAATCTACAGATTACAATTAATCTCTCATGAAAGGTGGTCTTGTCTGTATATATTAACCATAGACTAATTTCTACTTTTACCAGGCTGATTTCATAGATGAGCTTCTCCAGGGAAGGTTTGTAGAGGAACCGTTTCCACCAGCAATGTTAGCAGCTCACAATAGGCAGGTTTGCCTCTTTGTAACTGTTAGTATACATGAAAAGTGGATGTTAATAAGTGAATTTGTAATTGATTTTCAATTTAGTGTTGTCTGTCTTTATACTGTGCAAGCTTCATTTTTTGCCATTTATCCAAGTATCAACCGTTAAAGATATTTTTGAGCGCTGAGACTTTGATTTCTGCCTTGTTCTTTTTTATTTTTTCTGCTTTCCCTTTTGCATTTTCAAGTGGTAAAACTCAAAAGATTTAAAAGGGCTCCCAACTCCACCCATTCTATGTCGACCTTGTCATGTTGCAATATATATGTGTGTATGTGGATAACAACTTTTGAGGTCATTTTTTCACAAAATTTTTGGGTGGCTTTCTGGCTTCATCATGTGAGACAAATTCCTGAGACTACATAACTTTCAGAGTTGCCTTTTTTGTTTTGTTTTTTTGTTTTATTCTGCTGTGCTTAAAGATTTGAGCTTGTACTTTAGAGTAATATCAGTTGTAAATTGCTGATGATACTGTTTTTTATTACTATATTGTTATATTTTGCAACTTTGATTGGGCTAAAATTAATCTGCATTAGAAGTTGTTCTACTTAGTTTTGTTTAAAATTATTAATAACTATTAATAGTTTAATAGTAAAAGGGTTTGTATTCTACTAAAGTTTTGGATCCAAGCCACAAATAGACACATGGTAGAGTAAGAAAAGGAGTCAGGAGATGAACCTGACCTGAGGGTTAAGTCCTAAACCTAAGAGTTAGATGGGATACAATCATTGTTGATGGTTCAAAAGTTGAGGTGCAATACATGAAATCAGATGCAAGCCAGGATACTGCCAAGCTTAACCTTCTTTTCTGTTCTTCACTTCGTAAATTCAACTGAGTATAACTGGCACAAAAGTCAATATCTTCTGCAAGTGCATTCTGCAGTTTCTCATTTCTGGGATAATTCTGAGCTCTCTCAGGAATTTGCTTTTAAGGGAACTGATTTTGACCTTCAAATAAAATCAGATCATTTCCTGACATGATTGTTATTGTTGTCAGATCATTTCCTGACATGATTATGAGTTGAGAGCAAGCAAAAAACACTCCAAAAAGAAAATAACATAAAAATCATATTAATAACAGGCTTCCCTTGGTTTTTAAGGAAAAGAAATAAATTTGGATTTGTAAATATTAGTTGATTACATTCATCAATAACTTTTCGTAAGGTTCATCTTTTGGCTATCCAACATTGAATGTCCTTTTTAATGTTTATCATGCTTGTCAAAAATTAAATTGATCAGATATTTAGAGCTATCCATCAACATCTAGTTTTAAATTAATATTTTGTTCGAATATCATACTGAGAGAAATATGAGTTGATAGATCGGACATGTATATCTGGTTGATTTAAAATTTGTATGCATGACAAATATGCTAAAATTGTTATAATCCAAAGGTTGGATTGATGAAAAACGAATTCAATTGTCTGGCTTAAGAATAACTGTAAGTCCAATATTGGGGTTTAGGAATAACTATTCTTATACTAGTTGTAAGTTGATCTGACCCTAAAATTTTACACAATTCCCATTTCCATTTGGTCTGTATAGCAAAGGATTGATTGTTTGTTGATACAAATTTCTGCAGCCCTTGGAGATGAGGGAAAGTTGTTTGCTCTTTTTTTTTTCTTTTCTTTTTTTTTTTTTCTTTTTTTTTGTGTGTGTGTGTGTGTGTGTGTTGGGGGGGGGGGGGGGGGGGGGGGGGAGGGGGGCCGGGGGGCGGGGCGTGTAAACTAACATATTCTATGTAGAAGTTAATGGTCATCAACCGTGTGTGTTGAAAATCCAATTTAACATTCTTGTGCAAGTCAAGGCACTTTAATAATGATATTTTTTTCTTGTCCTGTTTGTTTCCTTGCCCAGTACTGTTGCATCTGCTGTAAGGCAGTAGAGTCATCACTATGTGTGGTTATCGATTGAACGTGGCCTAGACTTCATATTACGTTCTTTGAGCTCCTCTCCTCTCCCCTCCCCTCCTATTGTTTTATTTTTATTTCTATTAGTATTACGTTCTATGATCTCCTTGATTAATATTCTACAGGCAGCACATGGTGATATCTGATACAGTGAGGTTTTCTCTATTTATTCTCCATGCTTAACTCTTTCCATATCCATATTACAGTGCACTTCTTTTCTGACTTCTCAATAATTTTTTCTTCTTTTCTAACAATTTCCCATATAATCCTGAAAGGTTTTGAGTTGATGTGCTTAGTTGTTCTTGATTATGTACTAATTTTGTTGATGGAAAGTCTTAATAGCAATCCAAAACTTATTCTCCAGATCTGGCATTCAAATAACTTGTGTTGGAATGAATAGGTGAACATTGCTGACATAAGCTTCGACGACGTATATGATGTCTATGGTGAAGTCGTGTCAAGAGGGTTGTCAGGGGATTCCATCAAAAAACTACCGTGCCATGTGATCTTGGATGAAATCAAGACAGCGCAAAGCATCTGCTGCACTATATGTCTGCAGGTCTCCTCTTCTCTGGGAAAGATTTGGATTTCGATATCTATCTTATTTGCTTTGTGCAATAATAACATTGTGTAAACTGACAGGATATTGAAGTTGGGGATATTGCAAGGAGCTTGCCCCGGTGCCAGCACACGTTTCACTTGACTTGTGTGGACAAGTGGCTCATCAGACATGGCTCCTGCCCTGTATGCAGACGAGATGTGTTAATGCAAGCAAGGTTTGGTCCCTAGTGTATAGAAAAACACCATTGAGACTAAACTTGTTTGCTCTTGTATTATAAACTAGTACGTATTTTGTTGTAATCTGTAGTGTTTCCAAAGCAGGTTTTTCCCCAGGTGTGATCTAGGCCTTCCCTTGGGGGAAATCTTTGTAATATGTATTTTGTATAGGAAAATAAAATTCGAAATGTTTGTCTTACTGTTCATCATTTATATATGGCTCCACTTTAGCAGGTTGAGTCGTTTTATATCAGCAAAAAGATCATGTCTACATTAGAGGTATGATCTTAAGGAGCCATTTTGGTCAACCTATCAAGGTGGCTACTGTGGTTTTCAAAACATATGCAGTCCCTCTGTTTGCATCTCCCTCAAGCTTCTAAAGTGGTGGGGATATCCCAATGTCATCGTGGAGGGGGATGCTTTTACAGTCGTCTGAGGAAGCTCTCGTGGTTATCTTCGAAGACGTCTCTATTCTCCTGGAGTCTTGTTTGGGTGCATCCTTGGCATGGACCCCTCGAAAAGGCTACTCTGTTGCTCATCTGCTGAGCAGAAAGGATTTGGAAGCCACAACAATTGTGGTGTTTGGCCCGGTGGATGTTAAATGCTCATCTTCCTGAATGTATCCCTCTTTTTGTTGAATAATATTCTCCATTGCTTGGTGTCAAAAAAACAAAATTAATAATAGTAAATATATAAAATAAAGGTTTGTAATGTATCTTTTGTTTATTTTTATGTTTGCAATTTGCAAAAAAGATTGATTAAATTGGAGTGGAGAAATGTCACAAGAAAAATAGGCTGTGTGTAGAGAAATTTATCTAATTTTTTTTTAGAGCTCCAAGCCATATTGATCCAATTAAATCCAAAGAAATCTGAAGGATTTCAATAAAAGCATAGGGGCCAAAGGGCAAACACTCAAAAGCACCGTCCACGGCACAACCACAACAAATCAAGGGAGATGAACCACCCAGAACATGAACCAACCGTGCATGCCATCAGGGAGAGATGGGTAAATTATACGGACCTTTTCTATGGTTTGCAAAATTACACAAACTTTTCCTAAAAATGAAACTAATCTATATGAACCTTTTCTAAAAAAAAAACTAACCAACACGGACCTCCCCCTTGTAGTGACGGACCGTCATGGACTAACAAACCTGTCTATTTTACTGAAATACCCTTAATTTACTATGATAAATGGCTGAACTACCCTTATGCTTTTACTGAAATACCCTCCATTTACTATGATAAATGACTGAAATACCCATATGCTTTTAGATATATAAATATATATTCAAACATTTTGATGGGGGGTTTTAGAGAGAGAGAGAGAGAGAGAGAGAGATTAACAGTGGAGAAAGCTTCAGTTCCGGTGCCATATATGCGGAGTATAGAGCAGCCACCATGATGTTTTGCCTTTAAGGTCGTTTGTGGCCCTCACAATTGGAGGTTTATAATCAAGCTGAGGTTAAAATACTGCAGACTTGTTAGTGAAAAAGAACAAGTCAGAACATTGATGCTGAAACTGAAACTGATTCACATTTTAACCTGCACACAAAAAACAGCTGTTCTTGCAATATGCAGTGAGGGTTTTGATAACATAACTAGAATACATTTTCTATTTCTAAATCAGTATTTTCAAACTAGTGCTGGTACTTCTGCATTGGGGGTGCAATATACAACTCACATGGACCATTCTTTATTAAACTGCATATTATTGAGAGAATGATTTGTTACAGGGGGGAATTTGTGACAAAGAAATCCAAATTATCATCTTCCTGTGCAAGATATGCTACGTAAATTTTGTAGCAGCAGAATTCTTAACCAGAAATTATTTTTATCGTTTATTTCATCTTTTGATGCCAGGGAAACAACCAAAGTAACACTATATCTCACAACAACAAGAAGCCAGGAAGTGTTGGTCTGTAGTGGATGCCATCTGCAATCATAAAAATAAACAGGCTCAGATCATGATGAACAAAATTGTAAAAGCAGCACGTAACAGTGCGAAAAATTATCCAAAAAAAAAAAATCCACCTTTTCTTTCCTTTTCCGAATAACTTGTCACTTAGAGAATCCTTTTCCCTTTTTAGTAAGGCTCATTCATATGATCATTTCCAAAGCAGTTTAAAGTTCAACGAGACATATATTCGTTATAGGTCCCAGTTTGAAAGGATTAGCAGGATGTGACATCAAGAATTATTCTCCATGTATCGTGATATGTCATATGGTCCATTTGTGTCCTATATATTATTTGGGCCAACTCTTTTTGATATAATGACCAACTCTATTCCATATAATGCTTACAATGTAGTTAGAACAAAAAAGAAAAGAAAGAAAGAAAAACTCCAGTAAAGATTTTTTTTATCATCATTTATTGTGATGGCATTGAATTTACGACTCTATTCCATATAATGCTTACAGTGTAGTTAGAATTAAAAAGAGAGAGGGAAACAAAAAAGAAAAGAAAGAAAGAAAAAAAAAAAAAACTCCAGTAACAATTTTTTTATCATCATTTCTTGTGATGTGATGACTAATTTTTAACAATGAAACATTTTTAGAATCCAAAAACTTGATCACACTTCAAACCTAAAAACAAAACAAGAAAAATTACTCAGAATCTTTTATGGGGATGAGAAGGAACATACGGGAGAACGAAGAGCGTCGAAACTATGAACTGACTTGAATTAAATATTTGGAGTTCAAACTTCATACTGGAACTGCTATAGGCCTTTTGCTGGTTTTGATTCCTTTTATTGCTGTAAAACAATCATTGCATGCACAGAGAAAGGTTTAGACACGTTATTTATGTACATAAATATCAAATTATCTCTTGTAGACTTATAATAGAAGTTGAGAACATGCCTTCAGCATAATCCTTAGCTCCAAACACAGCAGAACCAGCGACTAAAGCATTGGCTCCAGCCTCAATAACCTGCCAACATTGATATCAATGACAAATGGCTGCATAAATTACATCATTAATTGAAAATGTTTTTTTATAAGAATAATTATAGGAGATTAGATATGTATTTCTCATGAACTATTGTGAATTAATGTATTCAATATGTTCTGAATTGTAGTGTGGTTGAAAAATGTAAACATAAAGATAAAAATCCTGCATTGGTTATGAATTATGCCTTTTTTTTTTTCTTTTTTTTTGTAAGTTAAAGCAATTCACACACACACCCTGCCTCCACTAAAGCTCAAACCCCTGACCTCCCCATTGGGGAGGAGGAGGTAGTACTGCTGGGCCACTTGGTCCTTTGGTGTTATGAATTATGTTTAACCTATGAAATGTGTTAAAAGTTATGACTGGGTTCAATGCACCATCCAAACTCAACTGGAACATACAGTTCAACACTAAACGGTGGAAACGGAATAAATACGCACTTAACTTCATCCTAACCATTCTTGGACAAGTACAAAGGGCCTCTTACCATATAATTCTATTTAGGGCCCCATTTCAACAAGAAAAATAAAATATAATTAAAGAAGACAATAAAATACTGAAAAGGGTACCTTATATGCATTTTTAGGACCAACTCCACCATCTACTTCTATCCATGGGTTTACCCCCTGCATAAAAGACACAGAAAAATGTCATTGTTTTCCAAATTCTTGTGGGGATTGCATATAGAAACGAGAACGGAATACCTTCTCTGCACACATTCTTCTCAAGTCAGAGATTTTCTTAACTTGGCTCTCAATAAAGCTCTGCCCACCAAATCCAGGGTTTACCGACATAATCAAGACCAGATCGACAACTGTTAACAAGCAAAGAAGATCTGAATGAACCCCAAAAAGAAGACTAAAGCTTCAGACAATAATATCTTCTTGGTGGAATCACTGATTCCAAAGTAAGAGAGGTGACCTGACCAATATTACAATAACTACAAAATCCAAGTAAACTTACTAAAATGAATTTCTATACAAGATATTATCCATTAATTTTATAAAAAAAAAAAAAAAAAAAAGTTCCCCTTATTTGACTCTACATTACAGACACATTCAGACTTTTCCTTGTATCAATTTCCAAGTTCATGGTTAGCATTTTGCATGCCTTGGTCATCATTGCCAACCCAAAGTACGTACCCATGACTCCTATGATTCCCAAAGCTGATTGCTGATAAAGGACGCTTATGCCTCATAGAGCAGGAGTGTGAGTGTTAGAGCATCGATGCCTAAGAATTTTTAAGTGAGGGAGCGTCTCTAGAGCATTTATATGTTGTATGTATATGCCCTTATCTCATATGATTTATGATAAGATTAATTGATTGTATATAATTTGTTGTTCAAAAATCTGTAATCATTGTACAAACATTTTTTGTTAATGTTGGTTTAATGAAATTAATTATTATAACAGGTTCAATGAAAAAACTATAGTTAAGTTTTAAAAAAAAAAAAAAAAAAAAAAAAACCATAGTATGACACAGTTGTAACTGGCCATATTTTCCTTAATTCCTTCTACAAGGTCATGGGTTCGAGCCTTTTATTATTTTGGCATTTTTAACACAAAAAGCAGCACCCCAAATTCCCAAACCTACATGTACAAAATAGCTGAATCACAGGCAAACCATCAGACATATATGCTGTGCACAAAGCTCAAAAGTAGATTTCAGTCCAATAAGTGTTCAATCTACATATTCAAAAAAAGTGAGCATGGATTCATGGTACATCGCTCCCAAAATGCGGATTCCTGTGCGGAGTGAGAGAATGCCCATTTGTTTGGGTGTATTGTGTGATGATGGGAACACTACCTATGAAAAAGACCCTCAATTTGGACACATCCTCTGTAAGAGGCAATTTTTTTTTTGTGTGAAGGACTTGAGTATAGGAGCTACCCCTTGGGGGAAAAAGGAAAAAGGAAAGAACGGATCTTACCATCAAGGACATATTCTATCGTGGTTAGTGGGGTACCAGGGTTTAGGACAACTCCAGCTTTAGCTCCCAAACTTTTAACCTGATTCACCAAAAAAGAAAAGATATAAAATGATCAAAGGAAAATGTTAACAACCATCTACTCTAAAAGCTTAAGCTATTAGAGAGGGTGTGACTTTAATATTTAATCCTTCAACACGCCCCCTCACGTGTGGCCTTCTTTTGGTCCAACACGTGTTTCACAATTTTAATTATCTTGGTGACAGTGAGGGATGTCGAGACCTTTGGCTCTGATACCATGTTAGCAACCACCTACTCTAAAAGCTTAAGCTGTTAGAGAGGGTGTAACTTTAATATATAATCCTTCAACAGAAAAAACTAGTAGAAATGAAATGGTGATAGCTATATTCAATTAGGAAAGTGAATAAGATAAAAGTATATCAAAGCTGGAGTAAATAGCTACACAACTCTTCAAGTTCTCTCTAGTGTCATGAAAAGTTAAAGAAAATGAACAGTCTGAAAGCATTTGGATAGGAAATTCCATCCCCACTTATTACTCAAACAATTATAATTGATGCTACTAAAGTTTTGCACTATCGTAACACCATTGAATGCTTCCTCACTAAATTCTCTAAAACTGTGGAGTGGAAAGTGGTAGCTAATTATCTTTTAAACAGTGAAAAGACCCAAATGACTTGGATCAAGTAGGAAGACGCATATATTTTATTTTTGCTGCACATACTGCTTAACATGGTGACCATGGAGATCTTTGTTGCCAATCTCACATTGTTGAATAGAACACAACTCTGGTTAAGTGGTCTGGCAAGGGACAGGTATACTTTAAGAGAACTATGAGTGATAATCAGATGGTTATAAATATATATGTCCATCCTGATCATCAGATGTCCAATAACATGTTAGACTGTACGCGAACTGGATGGACAATTATACAAGTCCTTGCGATGTATGATTTATCATGTAGAGCAGGAACAAAACATTTTAGTGGAGAAAAATTGTAGTTGCATTAGGAGGTTGTTGCATTTGTTAAAATTGTGTGTCATTACCAACAGGCTAGTGGCCTAGCGGTATCAGCCTCTTACATCCCAAAGGGAGGTCAGAGGTTCAAGTCTCAGAAGAGACGTGTGTGTGAGTACCAACTAGGAAAATATAAAAAAATTGTGTGTCATTTGCTCATCATCATTGAAGCCTTTTACAGTGAGAGAAGGAAAAGGGAAACGGACATAGATAAAGGATAATCAACCTTATTCTAATGTTCCAAATAAAAAGCAGAACTCTTGGAACAGCAAGATAGGCTTTGTAGATGTTGAGTAGTAAATAAAATATACAGTAATCTACCAACTGAGGACCGTGCCACGTCTGGTATATTCTATAGCAGTGTCTAAACACTTTCCAAAATAATTTGTACCGCAAATTTAGAACTTGCCTAAGCATCATACAGATAAAGTGTCATCTTCTACTTTCCAGTTATTATCTTCTAGAATAGCCTAGAAGGTTTTCCCTCTGCCATCCCATGGCTTGGCAGCAATTACCATGCCATAAGACACATACCTTACTAACAAAACCCAACTTAGATTAAATAACCTTTATGCCAGGGAAGTGCCCATGGTTGCTTGTTTTGCATCTTGTTACTAACAGTCCTAAGCCAGTCTTTGAACAGCATGCTATGAAGCACAGATAAGGACACAGGCATGACATTCTATGGACTTGGTAACACGGTATATCTAAAAAAAATAGGATACAGAAACGGCAGGGCTATGACAAGAAAATAATAATATAATATATTATTATATAATAAAAAAATTGATTTGTGCTCATTTTATCCACATTATCATGAAAGTAATCACTAATCTGGAACTTAGATCTCGATGGGTGTTGTTTTTGTTTATTAAAACTTTTTTTGTTTTATTTATTAATCCATTATATGTTTTAAAAATCGCATTGGAACCCAATTTTTTTAAAAAAACAATAATCGCAAAACTACCTTGTCATGACCCATAAGTGTCCCAAATGTGTTTTTAACGTGTCCATGCCATGTCTCAGCCGTTTCCAACCTAGGGAAAAAAAATTTTAAAAAATCAAACTCCAGGGCACCCTAGGCTTGTCAGGCACATGTCCTGCCGCATCTTATGCGTCTGTGTGGGACACGTATCCGCAACTGCCATGGCTCCCCCTAGAGGAGTGTCTGTGCTTCCTAAACAGCATGGTATCAAAAAAAATTAAATAGAAAGTAGATGCATTTCAGCAGGGATTAGATATTCTATCATGGCAATCCACATTGGCCCTGTTTTATTCAAGCCCCGCCTTAATTTCACTACATTTCTCTATCACTCTCTTTTATCTAAAACCAGTAATCATTAAAAATCTGTCCAAAAAAAAAAAGCCTACATCAGCAGAAACAAACACATTACTCCATTCAATCAGCCCAAGAGGATTATATTCTTTAATAAAGGAATGAAGCTCCTTTAGGCTTTCATAGAGACATAACACATTGTTTCTTCAACTTCTGAAACCAGAAAATTATAAACAAAAATCTGATAAACGCTAATCAGATTATACTAGTTTCAAAGAAAATTACTTGATTAACTGTACGGTGCAGATGGATAGTGGAAGCTTGTTCACAATGGACACTGACTATGTCAGCTCCAGCCTTAATAAAATCGGGCACTCTCTGCTCAGGTTCAACAATCATCTGCAATGCATTGTTTCACATTAGCAAAAATATTCTTGTTCAACATAGACCCAAAAAAATATATATTAATCAAGACATAAAAAGTGAAGAATACCAAATGCACATCCAATGGGAGATCTGTTACAGGGCGCAAGGCATCAACCACAAGAGGTCCAATTGTTATATTTGGAACAAAGCGGCCATCCATTACATCAACGTGAATCCAATCACAACCTGCCAGCTCCACTGCTTTTACCTAGATATATATGTGACCCATTAATGGTCAACCCACATCTCAAAGTTTCATGACTTCAGGAAATGCAGATAAAGAAATAGAAAATGATCTTAAGAATTTGACTGGCCAAAATTATTATCCCACAAAGTTCAGACGGAGAAATGATAAAATAGTAACTTTCTTTGGGTTTCGGGTAGAGATTTTAGATCTTCTGAGGATATTGTTGTTTTCTTGGCCTCTTTGAAGGCTTAAAGGGTCGTTTTGGCCCTGTGTTTGTTCTCTTGGGATGTGTTCCCCTTTTGAACGCTTTCAATGCATTTCTTACTTATCAAAAAAAAAAAAACTAGTTTGACAAAGAAAAATCCCAAGGTAAACGAAAGAGGCAAATGTATGCAGTAGAACAAAAATGTAACCTGTATTTGGTGAATGGTGGCCAAAATTTAAACAGATATGTTACACCTATGGTTTTAAGACCTAACCTAGCATTTATGGTAGCAATGATATGAAAAATGGAACCTGCTCTCCCAGTTTTGAAAAATTCGCAGAGAGAATAGATGGAGAAACAATGATGTTGCTTTTGGAGAACTTATCAACCCGTGACGTTGCCTTCACTACAGTTCGAACTGTTCTCCTGATTCATACATTGAAAATAAACAGAACTATATTACAAGTCAGCTGCAAGTTCCCCTGAAAAAGCTCAATGTTCATCTAATTGGCACTTTGTGGATATAATCAGCGACACTGTGTCCAGTGTCTACATACTAAATTAAACATAAATTGACTAGTAAAATAAAGAAAAAGAAAAAAAATGGCAAAAATTTTCATATAAAAGATCTAACAGAACATAAATAAACTATACCACATGTGGAAATTCTATTACCGGAATCAAACAGTAACCAAAGCTTAAAAATGATTTACTTGTCAATATTTGATCAATTATCACCAAGAAACAGTAACTGTCCATAGAAATTAAACGGGGCAAATCTTTTCTGGTATAGAGAAGAATAAGTGAGATAAATGTGCGGTAGAACAAGAAAGAAAGATGGTAGTAGTACTGACCAGGGAGAAAATGAGTAGCTACAGACTAAAATAGTTTGGTAATTTATACTGAATTTAATAACTGCATTATTAGCAAGACTGTAATGGTCTACGTGGAGTACAACGTTAGGGAAGAGAAGAGCCGAATTAATGTGGACTGAGTGAACTAAAAGGATGTGGTAGGGCAAGATTTGATGAAACTATGTCCTAAACAGAGTGACAAGATAAAACAAATGTAGTCAACCCTGTATAACTGGGAGAAGGCTTTGTTAAGTTGAGCACAAAGAGAAAGAATTGAAGAAATTAACAATTCATATATTGCATGAACATTTGATGTAGAGCTAAATGTGATACTGTGATAGTGGTCCAAGTATTAAAAGTAGTAAAGGTATAAAATGTAAGATGGAGAAATTAGTTTATATCATCACAAAGGACACTAGCAACATTTGAGTAAAAATACAAAAGAAGAAGCACATTTTTTTTTCTTCAGGAACTAAGATCATGGGAAATTCTTCTTAACCTTGGGAAGTATTTCTTAACTAGATATTTGGTCCTCAAAAGATGAGATGGACCTTATGAAATAACAAATTAAAAAAATAATAATAATAAAATCTAGTTTTGGATTGTCATCAGGGCAATTGACTGACATCCTCCTTTCAAACAAGAAACTTAAAATTAGAATGGAACATTATAATTTTATAAGTGACAGAATGAATATGAGAAGATAAATAAGGGAAATATAATTTCCTGAAAGGCTGGTGCTTAGGAACGCTATTAGAGTTCTTAAAAGCTTCAAGTTCCATTCAGAAATAAAGGTAAAGTATATTTTTAATCAACAAGAACAGAAGGTTCCTAGGTATTTAGTTACACGTAGTAAGCAATAGGGACACTTTTGTCATTTGGTTTAAGAAAAAGACAAAAAGTGGAGTGCATTTACCAAAAAATGGAGTGCTAATATCAGTTTTGGGCCACCATGCGTGAACTGAATTTCCACCAGGAAAACTGATGCAAAAGTAGGTTGCTGTCCCAGTTGAATACGTTGTAAAAGAAGAGGTAAGTATAGCCATTGTTGAAATTCTAAAGATTACAATGCATGAGAAATAATTGAAACGGGAGAAGACCAAATTGTTCACCCCATTGTAATTAAATTTGTTTGAGAAGTTTCTTACTTTATATGTATAGATTAGTGATACTGCATTACCGCTTTGGCTTTTTGCAATGAAATTATCCAACAGCCAATAAAAGATGGGCAATTGTTCAGAGAACGTTATAAATTCTTCTTTGGTATATTTCTTTCAACCACTGAAAGTAAAGGAAGCAGAATAATAAAAATACAATGGAGCAGATATATTTACTTCATCATGAAAAAAAGAATTTACCGAAGATTTCAAGTAAGATTTAGTCCTCGGGGCAATATCTGTCTAGCTCTTAGTCATTAAATTGAAGTTCAGCTAAGCATATCCACAAACAAATAAATGAACAAAATCCTAATAAAACAATTTACCCATTCATACACAGGCATGTAACTGGCAAATGTAAACTTCCTTCAAACCAGAACAATTTTCTATTTAAAGAGAATTAAATCTCCCAAAGCTTGTTCATCGATTCACTTTTTCAAATAGAGCAACTACAAATCATATTTTACACTATAAACAAACAGACCATTCAATACCCAAAATTAAGCATCTCCATTTATCATTTATGCAGTGCCCAATATTGTATACTGTAATTTATCAACAGAAACACACAAGCAATTCAAGTCACATGAATGAACCCTTGAATTTCCGTGATATGCATACACAAACATATATATATATGTGTGTGTTACCAAAAACAGTAATAAATTATCCTTTTAATCCTTTAATAGCTAGGTCAATGTAGAGGAATTGGAAATTTCCTCACAATTTTTTTTTTGAAATTTAATGAAGGTGAGTGAATTTTATGTACCTTGTGAAGGTGAGTGAATTGGGTTGAAAGAGAGATGGTTTTTGAAGCTTAAGACCCCCGCCAAATCCATTGATCTGGGACTGAGCAAGAGTTGATGAACCCAAAGAAGCTGTAGCCATTTCTCTCTGGTTTCTCTCTCTAAGTTCTGGGTATTGTTATAACGGTTTGGTAGTGAGAAAAAGTTAGGTGTTTTCTCTTCTCTCTCTCTCTTTTCCCTCACCAATCCTTCATCAGCCGAGAGTCTTGAAAAATCGTAAAAATTAAGAGGAATTTCCAATAAAATATGTGCTTGACACGTGTCAGATTTATATTATACGTACTATTTATTTTTTTGGTTTGCTTATCTGCAACGGTTGGCTCTCTGCATCGCTGACTTCACACCAGATGAGAATGACTTTATTATAGCAACTTTTTATTTATTTTTATTTTATTATTATTTTTTTTTTGGGTGCATTATGGGAGTTGGACCAACAAACACCTTGAGAGAAAATACAGAGGGTTACAGCCCTTGGTGCATGTATGTCATAAGCTTGCATGCATGCATGCATACATATATATATGTATGTATGACCAGGAAAAAATATAAAAATAAATAAAAATGAAAATCTAATAGGTACAAATTAGGGTGGCCACGGATCGGATCAGATTAGGCATCAATCTTAATCCGATCCATTCCCAACGAATTAGATAAATTTTAATCCGCCACCGATCCGTTATCCCACGAATCGGATCGTATTCACATATTGAATTTTATCTAAATTATCCATTATTATTTTTATAATTAATATTATTTATCTTTTAACCATAACCCAATAGATAAAATTTTAATTTATTAATATTAATTCATATATTAACTAATACAGCCTTAGAGTCCATTGAATAATTATTAACTAATACGAGTCAATTAAATTATTATTATTAACTAATTAAATTAACTAATATATTCTTTGAATATATATATATATATATATATATATATATATATATATATATATATATTACGGATCGGATCGGATTTAATTCGCAGATCGGATCGGATCGTATTTTTAACAGCCCCAATCCGTGATCTGATCCGTGAGTTGATTCGATTTTTTTTAATCCGCCACCGATCCGTGGGTGTAGCAATCCGATCCGATTCGCACGGATTAGACCGTATCGGATTCACGAATTATTTGTCCACCCCTATTACAAATACTTCTAAGAAAGTGTTTATGTAGAACATTAACACTTCGTGGACACTCGTAACATTGACACTGCATGACCATATACATAATTTAAAATTTATTTTTTTTATTATTTTAGATACTTGGTCTGCATATTTTGGACACTTCGACAATACATTCTGAATGCTCGACTAACACATTACACACTCTTCATCTTATATAACACAAATTATGATAGTCATAAAAATTTTATAAACTTATATTAAAGTTTCTAACTTTTTTTTTTTTTTTTCGTTTAAAATTTGACACTAAGCACATGTCAAAATATATAATGAACAAAAACATATGTGTTGTGCAAATAATAACCCTAGAGGGGGATGAATTGGGTCTTTGCCTCTTACTAGTAGCGTCTGCACTACATTTAATGCCAATCTATGGATAAGATGACAATCAATCTCGATGTAAATTGCCTTACGAGTGTTCCTTTGCCTATAACATTCGGACATGTTTACAATTCGCTTGTGACTATTTGGGTCGTGTTCTAACAACAAGTTCCTTAGGTATTGCTTGGGTCGAGTTATTAATTCTTATATTAGGTTAGTTTCACATTCACTACCCACATTAATGGGGTATGTGATAAACCACTCAAGATGTGGCTATATTTACCTATATATTAACATTCCTTTCATATTTCATCCTTTAGATAAATATAGCATGATGTGATGTAAGCAAAAACAATAAACGTTCACAAGGAACGAGGGTTATCTTAAATCCACAAGATAGGGTACCTTGAATCCCCAAGGTAGTACCTTGAATCCACAAACTAAATGAAAATTCATAGAGGAATCTGATAATATATTGATAAAAAGTTAAATTATGCTTTTACAATACATGAATATTTATAATAAAGAAAACCTAACACGAGAAGGAAACTAATCATAGAAATAAGTATAAAAATAATTTCTCTCTGAAAAAATAGAAAAAGAAACCTAATCAAATAAAACTACTAAATATAAAATCTCAGAGCATTCCGACTTCGTTAAGGCCTTGAACAAAAATCCCGAAATAATCAGCAAGCCTTCTATAACACAATAAAACGTGATTTTGGAGCCTGACATGGTTTCTGATATTGATGGGATATAATTATTTACAGAGATACAAGTCTTAAAAGAAGTTTTACCAAGAGGAACAAAAAAGGCAATTGAGGTATTAGATGTTATAAAAAGGCTAAGTTGTTATTTTTCAAATGATTGCATTGTATATAGAGTATTATTGACTATCCCAGTTATAGTTGCATTTGCTGAGAGAAACTTTTCAAAGTTAAAATTGATCAAATTTTATCTACGATTGACGATATGTTGGAGAAACTCGAAACTTTGATGGGTGAAAAGTAACCATATGTTTGACCAGTCGCCTAACATACAAGTTTCATCGATATCAAGCTTGTGAGTTTCAGCTATGCCAAGCTTGGTCTCAAAATTAGGCAAAATATCCAAATCCTCGAGTACAAGAGAAATCAAAAAACTATCTCAGAAGAGGGTTAATATGGGGGCATGCAATAAACCTGCAAAGTCATTCGACCAATTTACGGTTCTAATTACCGAGACATTGTCAAACACAATAAGTCCTTATTAAGGGCGAGCTCATGAGGCTCAAAAATAAATAAATAAATTCCCTTATTAAAGGGCAAGCTCATGAAGTTAAAAAAAAATACAACGCCTATTCCCTTATTAAAGGGCAAACTTATAAAGCTTGAGCAAAACATCTCATTATAAAAGTAGTAAGCTGGGTGAAGCTCGTAAAAATTAACCATTTTATTAAAAGGACGAGCTGGATGAAGCTCGAAAACATACCCAAGTTGAAAAAATGTTGGATTTCCAAAGAGAATCAAGCGATAACGAGGTGGGTTTGAGCTCATGCCCTTTCATGCCAAATAACTTTTTGCGCCTTGGGAATCATATCCTAGGTTTAAAAAAAAAATTGGATTCGAAACGAATCTGTACAAAAATTTGTGCAGAATGGATTTGATCACGCCCTTTCACGCCATAACTATTGTTACAGTTTACCTCTGGAACAATACATATTGTTCAGCTCGGGAATAGTCCCATGGTAAAAATAAAATAAAAAAGCTATAAGTTGATATTTCCTGTGTCCGAAACGGACTTGAAAATAGGGGGCATCTGATGGGTGAAAAGTAACCCTCTATTTGACCAGCTACCTAACCTATGATAACGATGAGACTACGTCCAATCAGTTGACAAGGATAAGGCAGATAACCAGTAAATGAGGGGATTGAAACAACACGATTAGTCAATTGGGATTATCACTTTATCCAAGGAGTGCTTGGAAGAGATAAACGGAATTTCCAAAAATTTCTCTAATTAGTACTGACTTAGATCATGAGAACTCTTTAAATTCGACTCTGGCTTATTGAATGAGGTACACAAAAACTTTATTGTGAATCATTGAATACAATACTCGACGATTATCTCTGATCATTGACTTAATCATCGGAGCGTCATCAGCCCGCATCACACCGGTGCCCTATGAAGTGACGTCATCCCTCTATTTTGTAGGAAACGTTGTGTGATACTCTAGATTCCAGAATGCGGGTTAGCCAGACCCATGCCCAAATACCCGAGGAAATAAAAAACAAATCGGTAATAATCGAACACTGAATACAAATATAATAAATAAGAATAAAGATTTTGCTGAAAGAAAACTAAAATAATAATCTAATAACTCCTCATAATAAATTCTTATTAATAATAAAATCATTCTGATACAATTAATCCTCCATTAATACAACTCGGAAATCCATAATGTGTGGACCCTTAGAAAAATCCAAAACTGAACAAGTAACAGTAATTACTGTCTACATGAAACATAAATGAATCTTCTAAATAACTCGAAAGAGTGAAGTAGACTGATTCCTGCTCAGCATGACCAATCCTCTACACCTGAAGAATACCTGAAAAATAAGGGTAGGTCAGGCCTACAAACAAGTTCTACTCTATAACAATCCAAGCAAAAATTCAATACATGTATACATCCTAGTCAATCCAACAATAACTAATAGTCCGTATACACACACACACACACACACACACACATATTATAGGACGCTCACTAAACTATAGGTCTGTCTCAACCTGAATAGATGCAACATGCAAATCGCACATAAAGTGGGCATGAGTACTTAGACCTACCAAGATACCCAGATGTCTATTATATCCAGTTATCCATCCTAGGCAATATATGCACCCTAACCATGGTCCCGAGATTCAAGCTCATATCATGGCTCATAACTATATATATATATATATAATTCATCCTAATCATAATATAAAATAAACATCCGGTATGTCATCCAACTGATTCAGTTGACCTGACATGAATATATGTAAAATTTAACATTTTAGTTAATCCATTCTATTATACATGAATATGTAGGACTTACCGTTTTTAGTTAATCCATCCATAATATGCCACCATACCATACTGGTGCATATAATGCATATGATCCATAAATTATGCAACAATTCTAATATCAACATCAAATACATTAAAAAATAAGCATAATAGATATCAGATATATACATGATCATATTATGCAGCTAATATATGATTAAAATCATATAATCTCCATTTAAATTACTAGAATAGTTTGAACCAATTAAATAATTCACACAATCCAATAATTGATGAAATAAGCAAAATAAAACATTAATTAATCTAAAGACAAGTATAATCAAAATCAGATAATTAATTGAGAATATTTTACATCAAATACATGATATAAAATTATATAATCATACATAGGAAATTGCTAGAACAAAATTAAGCAATCTAAATTCTACATATCCAACAACATGTAAATTTATTTTGAAATTTCATATTATTCAAGTTTTTAGTATATTAGTGTTCATTATGCATTCTGGGATATTACCATGTCAATATTAAATATTTAGAAAGTCCTATCAATCTCCAAATCAACCCCAAAACTACAAAATACCAAAACAGAACCCAAAATTTGTTAAAACTCCAACTAGCAGCAAATGAGCCGCCTCCATTCTGAATGGAGCCA